TATCTTGGCCTGGAGATTTCCTTCTTGTGAGTTTTTAAATTACAAAATCAATTTTTGGTATCTGCAGGGTCTATATTGTTATCCTTGGTTTGTTTCTAATATTGGTAATGGCTATATGTTTCTCTTTCAGCACTTCTTTAGCTGTGTCTCCAAATTTTTGATATGTTGCCTTTTCATTTTCATTCAGTTCAGTGCATTTTTAAATTTCCCTTGAGACTTAGTCTTTGATCCATGGATTATATAGAAGCATGTTACTTAGTTTCCAGGTGTTTATTGTTTTTCTTGTTATCTCTCTCTAATCTCTAGTATGATTCCAGTGTGGCAAAAAACATACCTTTTATTATTTTAATTCTCCTAAAATTTTTGACGTTTGTTTAGTGAGCCAGGATATGGTCTATTTTGGTGTATGTTCCACGAACGCTTGAAATGAATTTGTATTCCGCTGTTGTGTGAAGTGTTCTATAAACTGGCCATATCCCATTGGCTGATGATATTGCTGAGTTCTGTATCCTTGTTGATTTTCTAGTTGTTCATTTATTAACAGAAGGATAGTGAGGTTTCCAGCTGTAGTTGTGGATTTCTCTGTGTCTGTTTTCAGTTCTATTAGAATTTAGTTCATGTATTTTGCAACTTTGTTGTTTGGTACAAACACATTTAGGATTGCTATATATATATAGATGGATTTTTTTTTTTTTAAAGATTTTATTTATTTACTTGAGACAGAGAGAATGAGAGAGAGAGAGCACATGAGAGGGGTGAGGGTCAGAGGGAGAAGCAGGCTCCCTGCCGAGCAGGGAGCCCGATGCGGGACTCGATCCTGGGACTCCAGGATCATGACCTGAGCCGAAAGCAGTCGCCCAACCAACTGAGCCACCCAGGCGCCCTATATAGATGGATTTTTGATAATGTCCCTATGTTTGGTAGCTTTCTTTGTTCTGAAGTCTGCTTTGTCTGCTATATTAATATAGCCATTTTAACTTTCTTTGAATTAATTTTTGCATGACAGATCTTTTTCCATCCTTCTTCTTTCAGCCTGTCTATACTGTTATATTTGCAGTGAGTTTCTTATAGATATCATATGGTTTAGTCATGTTTTTCAATCTACATTGTTAATCTGGGTTTTTTAATTGGTGTATTTAGAACATTTACGTTTTTTATTGACAGATCAGGTCTTAAGTCTTTTTTTTTTTTTTTAAGATTTTATTTACTTATAGAGAGTGCAAGTGGGGGGAGGAAGAGGGATGAGCAGACTCCATGCTGAGTGTGGAGCCTGACATGGAGCTCAGTCCCACGATCCCAAGATCACAACCTGAGCTAAAACTAAGAGTCTAACGCACAAATGACTGAGCCACTCAGGTGCCCCTTTTCTTCCTTTTTGATGTTCTAGGGTTTCTTTTTTTATTTTTTAAAATTAAAAAAAAAAATTTTTTTTTTAGGGTTTCTTTTTTTAAAAAATCATTTCCTTTTTGTTGAGAGAACTTCCCTTAATCATTCTTTTAGGATATGTCTACTCATGACAAGTTTTCTTAGTTTTGCTTCATCTGAGAATGTCTTGATTTTGCCTTCATTCCTGAAGAGTGTTTCCACTGTGCATAGGATTCTGGGTTACAGTCTTTTTCTTTCAGACCTTGAAAATTGTTTTGCCACTTCATCTGGCCTCCACAGTTTTTGATCTGCAGTTTCCTGTCATTTTTCTTTTGTTTTTTTCATACACTTTTATAGGTAAGGTATTGTTTTTCTTTCACTGCTTTCAAGATTTTTTTCTGTCTTTGATTTTCAGAAGTTTAATTATGATGTGTTTTGGCATAGATTTCTTTTTTTCTTGATGGGGTTTGCTCAGCTCCTTGAATATGTAGAGACTTCTTTCACCAAATGTGGGAAATTTTCAGCCTTCATTTCTTGTAATACTTTTTTAGCCCAGCTTAGTCTCTCATTTCCTTCTGGGAGTCTGATGACATGTGTGCTAGATGTTTTATTAGAGTCCTACAGGTCCCTGATGCCCTGTTCATTTTTCCCCCAGTCTGTTTTCTCTCTGTTGTTCAGAGTACGTAATTTCTATTGTTCTGTCTTCATGTTTACTGCTTCTTTCTTCTGTAACCTCCATTCTTCTGTCTAGCTTATGCACTGAGCTTATTTTGATTATTGTATTTTTCATTTCTAAAGTTTCCATTTGGTTCTTTATATCTCCTGTTTCTTTGTTGAGTCTCTGTATTTTTCATTTGTTTCTAGTGTGTTCATAACTGTCTGTTGAGTCATTTTTATCATGGTTTCTTTAAATCCTTTGTTATATAATTCTAACATCTCTGTCATCTGAATTTTGGCCTCTCTTTATTGTCTTTTTTCACCCAGTTGAGAAATTCTTGGTTCTTGGTATGATGAGTGATTTTCACTTGAAACCTGGACATTTTTATGTTAGAAATTTTATGTGGATATTATCTGTTGATTGTTTCAGCTGACTTTCTGTGATACCACTCTGGCAAAGGAAGTAGTATTAGATTGAGGTAGAAGTCCAGCTTCCCTACTCAGTCTCCATTGACACTCATGGGATGGGGCAGGGGTTGGGGCTCCTCATTCCTGCTCCTCACCTGGTCTCCACTGACACCAGGCTTTGTACTACCGGGTGATGACGAAAGTCCTGATTCTGAAACTACCCCAGTGGAGAATTGGAGGGCGTCTTCTTTACTACCAGGGGGTGGGGTAGAAGTCCAGGTTCCTGACTTGGTCTTTGCTGTGGGATGGAGTGTGGTTTGTTATCACCCATTGTGGATGAAAGTTCCAGCTCCTAATCCATCTTCTCTAACACTGCTCCAGTGGGTGGCTTGGGATTCCTCATTACAGCCTGGCCAGTGGAAGTTTAGGCTGCCCACTTGGCCTTTGTTGGCCTAGGGGTCGGGGGGTCATAGTTTTTCTGAGACTTGTGGCCAGTGTAGAGAATTACTGTCTAAAGGTTTTCTGTCTTGCCAAGCTCCCTTTTCCTGGTCTTTTGGCTAAAGAGAGAGCAGGCTTTCATTGAGGCTTTGTTCTATTTGTTCATGTTTCCAGGTTGCTGGGTTCTTCAGCTCTGGACTATATGAGGCACAAAGAAAACCCAGGGAACTCACCACAGTGTCATTCCTTGGGTTCCAGAGTTGCTAGCTTGTCTTTTACTCTCTCTTTCACAGTCTTCTTATGTTTGCTTCTTATGTTTTGTGTCCGGGGCTTTTGTACTTCGTGGAAGGAATAGGGAAAGGAACTTTTATTCCATCTTCCCAGAAGTGAAAATCTCGTCTTTGTTTTCGAAAGATGTTTTCATGGGGTATAGAACTCTGTGTTGACATTTTTATTCTAACACCCAAAAGATGTTACTGCATTGTCTTGTGTTGTTTCTGACAAGAAGTCTGTTGTCAGTTTTACCTTTGTTTCTCTGTACATGTTTTTATTACTAACTGCTTTTATGATGCTGTCACTGTTCTCAGCAGTCTGACTGAGTGGTTCTTTGTGTAGTTGTCTCTTGTTTTCTGTTTGGGAAATCCCAAATGATCTGTAAATGTACTGTTTCAAATTTGTGTGGCTTCTAGTCATTAGAAAAAACTTTTATTTTTGTAAATGGAGCACCATTAACCTTTTCTGGTGTATCATTCTGTGAACTTTAACACAGGTACACGTTCATGCACACCACTACCGCTTCAGGACACAAAACTGTAGAATCACTCTAAAAATCTCCCTTGTGCTCTCTGTACACAGTCATCATTTCCTGAGATATTTGTTCTGTCCCTTCAGACTCCAATTCCATGTCTATTTAGGGACTAACTTGAAGGAGTCCCGCTGCTCACTGATAAGCTTATCTGTTTGTTGTTGTTGTTTTGAGTTTGTGTGTGTATGATTCATTATGGATGATTTCTGTTGCAAAGTCTTCAAGTTCACTGATCTTTTCTCCCCTCTGTCTAATCTATTGTTAATCTCGCCTGGTGTGTTTTTCATCTTGAGATTCTACTTTTCACCTGTAAAACACATTGGCTCTTGGCTCTCCCTAACATGCTCTTGTTCTTTTCTACCTCCTTGAACATGTGATTGATTATGTGTACAAGGTCTTTTTTAACGTCATTGTCTTTGCGTCTATTATTTGTGCCATTTCTGGGTCTGTTTCTGTTTATTTTCTCCTTGTTATTGGTCATTCCTGCATCTTTGCATGTCTTGTGGTCTTTGATTAGAACTTTATGTTTTGGGGTGCTGGAGGGTTTTTTTTTATTCCTATAAATATTTTTGAGCTTTTTTTCTGGGACACAGTTACGTCACTTGGAAATGGTTTGAACCTTTCAAAGCTTTTAAAGCTTTGTTAGACAGGTTCTGAGCAGCCTTTAGTTTAAGGCAGAGTTTCTCAATCTCAGCACTATTGATGTTTAGAATCAGATAATGCTTTGTTGTGGGGGCTGGCCTGGGCTTCTTGTAGGATGTTTAGCGGCATTTGTGGCCTCTGCTCACAAGATACCAGTAGAACCAGTTAGTCATGAGCTAAGAATGGTTTTCACATTTTTTTAAAGTTGTAAAAAGGAAGAAGAAAAGAAGAAGAATATGCAACAGAGACCCCTGATATGGCCGACAAGACCAGAATATAATATGGAGAGGCTTTCAGCCTCTTGTATGGTGACTTTTTTTTTTTTTTTTTTACTGTTTGAGGCAAATACTAGTATAAGAGAAAACTTACTTTTCCAGTATAAAGAGTAGTTAAGAACACAGGCTTTGAATATGAAGAGAATTTTGAGTCCAGTATGTGTCTTCCACTTAATACGGTTTGACACTGGGCAAAATTTTAACTCTCTGAGCCTCAGTTTCTTCTCTTATAAAACTGAGCCAGTGTATACTTATCACTTGGGTTTGTTAGAGAATTAAATGAGAATGAATGAAAGTATGTAGTTCAAGGTGTGACACACAGTAGCTGTTGTTGTTACTTCACTTCAGGTTTGTGCCCCTTATTTAAAATGTTCTGTGATGTCTGTATGAAGTCATATTTTGCTAATTTGGAGGATTATGGTCTTATCTTTCAGGTCATGCAGAAGGATTTTGTATGATGTGTACAATGCAAGCACATATCACTCAGGCACTCAGTAATCCTGGGGATGTTATTAAGCCGATGTTTGTCATTAATGAGATGCGGCGTAAGTATCATCTGTAGTAGTTTATGTTAGTGTTTGTTAGGTAATTGGTCTTAAACGCCTAACTGGTAAAAGGTGAGCTCCTGGTGTATTGTAGAAAACAAACATGTTTTATCATACGTGGGTATGGCTTTAATTGATAACAAATCTTTAGTAAAACATTTAGTATAGAAACACACTTTGAAACCACAGAAGATGACAGTGTAATAAGGTATTCAGTTTAATATAAGCAAATTAATTTTTTTTTTAAAGTAGGCTCCACGCTAGTGCCCCACACTAGTGCCAGCGTGGGGCTCAAACTCACAACTATGAGATCAAGATCTGAGCTGAGATCAAGAGTCAGACATTAAACTGACTGAGCCACTCAGGCACCCCACAAATTTAAAAATTTTAAAAACTCACTTTGTTAGGGGTGCCTGGGTGGCTCATTCGGTTGAGCGTCTGCCTTTGGCTCGGGTCGTGGTCTCGGAGTCCTGGGATCCAGCCCTGCATCGGGCTCCCTGCTCAGTGGGGAGCCTGCTTCTCCCTCTGCCTGCCTCTCCCCCTGCTTGTGCTCACTCTCTCTGTGTCTCTGTCTCTCTCTCTCTCTCTCCATCTCAAGTAAATAAATAAAATCTTAAAAAAAAACACCTCACTTTGTTCATGAATTCATTGATAAGTTTTACAATGATTTTTTCCACCAGGTATTTGGATTACTATGCTGAGTTATACTATAAATATTGTCCCACAGGTTTCTTTAAATAGTTTTGAATTGGTTTTAATTCAGTGAATGAGCATTATGCTATGTATAGCGTTAGGAATTATCAAACTAAAGTTAATTATACTCTTAAAGGAACATTTAAACTCATAACAGCAAATTTGTGGATAAATTTCACTTTTTCTATTTAATTTTTAAATGACTTGAAAATTTTCTTTTGCGTTAAAATGACCCTACTAAGGTACGTGAAATGCCTTAATGCACTTTCTGTGTGGTTTTGTAATAAACTTTTACATCATCTTAATTAACTGAGTTAGAAGGTAAAAAATGCGTGCAAATAAAAAAGGAACCCTAACTGTTAATCTGGAATCTAGCAGGGTAATTACAGGGGTGGATAATTATACAGTGACAATCTATAATCCTTTTGCCTAAAAAGCTGCTGAAGATTAAGAGGTGTTCTATTGGCCCTCGGCAGTATTAACAGGCCAGAGGAGACAACGCAAACATTTTTTAAGCAGTGTTGGATCCTGGCAGAATTTTAGCCAGGGGAAATTTTGTTTGTTTAATTTTGTACATATAAGGAAAGATTAATTATTTTTAAAACTAGACTTTAAGAAAAGGTCATCGCTGCTTGTGTGCACGTATATCTGTGAGCTCACGTAACCCCACACACGTGGCAGGATCATGAGATTGCCATTTTTATAGGCAGAACCGGCGGAATACGGGCAATTTCCTCTGACTCAAGCTAGTATGTATTTCTGTATATTCATGTATAGAAATTGTTCTATTCATGTTTTATTGTGATATTGTCTATGCTGTTTTTTGTTTGTTTGTTTTCAAAGATTTTTATTTATTTGAGAGAGAGAGAGAGCATGAGAGGGGGGAGAGTCAGAGGGAGAAGCAGACTCCCCGCTGAGCAGGAAGCCCGATGTGGGACTCGATCCCGGGACTCCGGGATCATGACCTGAGCTGAAGGCAGTCGCTTAACCAACTGAGCCACCCAGGCGCCCCGCTGTTGTTTTTTATTATGTCATTTTGTCTTGCAGCCATTTAGTCCATTAGAAGCAAGGCTGCAGAGATGCTGAGCACACAGTGTGTTCTGTGGGTTGTTGAGACAGAACTGAGATGGATTCAGACATTTATGTTTGCTGTGGATTCTCTTAGGGAGATCTAGCACTGAATTTAAGATTGTGTGCGCTAACATCACCTTTCAAACAAACATAACGTTTTGAACAAATTTTTGAGATAATACAGCTAAAGTTGAATTTATTCAAGTACAGTTTTATTAACTTCCTGCAGACCTGGAGTCTCTGGGCTCTCAGGAGCTCTAGGCCATGTGCACTTGTAATGGTCTAAAGGGCGTGGTCCTCGCTGTTCTCAGGATAGTGTGTGTTAGTGCTGTGTCCTCATAAAATAATTAGCAGGTGTATTCAAACCGACAGATGGTCATTAGATAGAATGTCTGGGGGGTACAGCCGGGGCGTATCCCATGTGATGATAAAGCTTTGTTTTAAACTTCACAGGTATAGCTAGGCACTTCCGCTTTGGAAACCAAGAAGATGCCCACGAATTCCTTCAATACACTGTTGATGCTATGCAAAAAGCATGCTTGAATGGCAGCAATAAGTGAGTACAGCAAAGCATTGGTCACTTCTCCCCTTGGCATCGCTGGCTTACTGGAGTTCAGTTTTGCCTTTTACGATGAATGCACAGAGCTCTGTGTTTGCTTCACTTTGACTTTGCACTGCCTCTGCCTCAGGTGATTTCCATCATTTTAAAACGATAGAAAAATTTGAAGGGTGTGCTTACTATAACAATGTGGGTTTAATTACAGATGTCAGGAATTGGGGATTGGTTTTGCCATTACTCAGTTTCTGAGTATCAGCATCCCTTTGCAGATCTAAAACTAACCACTTTTCCTTTCTAGTTGTGCCCAGCATTTTTTCTGCTCCTCTCCAGCCTCTGAAATCTGTGTGTGTTCCCTGAATCTTCCTTAGTCTGGTCAGTTACCAATTCCTGCAGTTTATTCCTTAAAATCTAAATGCAGCCTCAAGAGGAAGATTTCGAGGACGACTAGATACCAAATCCTAACCCACTTGCATTGCCTGAACACACCTGGTAGATCTCCTATTCTCCTCCCACTGTCGCTGTCACTGGCTTGCCTCTGCTTGCTTGGATGATGGACCCCAGAGCAGAGAAGAACGCTCTGCGCTCCCTGCCTTCACCAGCCGGTCCACACACCCAGTGTCACAGCCTTGCTGCTTGCTTCTGGGCCAGATTCCTGCCTCAGTGTCAAGTCTCTCTCAGTCCTATCCTATCTCTTTCTACCTCTCCACAGACCCTCACTGTGTTCTGGTCCAGGCAAGATGATTCTTTTATTTCGTGGCTTCCTATTTGAATTCTTGTTCTTTTATAGATTTTTGTTCTTGTTCTTTTATAGCTTTTAAAATTCGGTCACAGCATGTATAATTATTGTAGAACTCTTGTCTCATATCACTGTTTGTTTTTCAGATTAGACAGACACACCCAGGCTACCACCCTCGTTTGTCAGATATTTGGAGGATACCTAAGATCTAGAGGTAAAGTTTTATTTAAGGTTGATAAAGAGGTACATGCATGTGGTTAAAAAAGTGCAGTAGGAAAGGGTTAGCAATGGAGAGTGTGTCTCCCTTACCCCGCTCAAAGGCAGCCCCTGTCCCACTTTAGAGTATAGCCTTCCAGTACTTTCCGGTGTATGAGCAGACTGGGGTATGTTAGATGGATCTCTTTCCTTTTTCTCTTAACATGAGAAGTCTTTTTATGTTTCGGTACATGTAGGTAACATGGTCTTTCACAGCTAAAGAAGAATTCCATTTATTTGAGTCCCCTAACAATGGATTTTGAGGTTGTTTCTAATTCTTCGGTGTTTTTATTACTATTAGTCATTCAGGGCACTTTCTTATACAGTGCCTTTATGTTCATGTAAAAATGTCTAAGTAGGATGAGTTCTTAGTAATTAGAATTTCTGCATTAAAGGGTACGTGTGTTTTAAATTCTGATACTCCAGGTCGTCCTTCCAAGAAGTTATACCAGTTCACATTCCACCAACAGCACATGTGGGCCACATTCATGACACTTTGGTTCACACTGTGTGTGGTATTAACACTTTTTGGCCCAATCTGAAAAATGTACTTTGTTTTAATTTTTTATTTTAATATTTTTGTGTTCTGTCATTTCAGTAGTTGATATTGCCATAAGGATTACACTTTGCTTATTCTTTGCGTTTTATTTTCATTTCAGTCAAGTGTTTAAATTGCAAAGGTGTCTCAGATACGTTCGATCCATATCTTGATATAACGTTGGAGATAAAGGTACGTTTGCTAATTGTGGTGGCGAGGTTAGAAAAAGACAGACTTTGTGTAACTTTATCTGTAGTTCATTTATAAACTTAGACTACACTTGCTAGAGAATATGAATTGAAACCGTTCATATGCCGCGACTGTATTCAGAGGGGATAATGTAAGATTTGTAGCAGGGAGCGTACAGACTTTTTCTTGGCCTTTGACTTTTCACTTGATAGATTATTGTGATAAAACCAGAATTTGATGCCTGCATTAACCCAATTTAGATGATTGTCATTGTTTAGAAACTGTTTTGTTTCTAGCATTTTCTAAGCTCCTATCTTTTGTTAAGCTTTTATTTTTCCAATTACAAATGTAATACATGTTTAGGATAGAAATGAGGAACATTGCAGATGTGTAGAGGGTCCCGTTCCTAAGGATGAACCCTTAACAATTCGATATAAACTGGGGGCGCCTGAGTGGCTCAGTCATTAAGCGTCTGCCTTCGGCTCAGGTTATGATCCCAGGGTCCTGGGATCGAGCCCCGCATTGGGCTCCCTGCTTTGTGGGAAGCCTGCTTCTCCCTCTCCCACTTCCCCTGCTTGTGTTCCCTCTTTCGCTGTCTCTCTCTCTGTCAAATAAATAAAATAAAAATCTTTAAAAAAAAAAACAAAACAATTTGATATAAACTGTTCCAGAACCCATTAGTTACTGCTTATAAAAATGCGATTACACCTTAGGCCTGTTTAGCCACTTGCCACCTTCCCGTAGTTCTGCTTGGTGGCTTCTCTGTGCGCACGGGCCTTGACAGTCGTGTGGCGGCCTCCTGAGCGTGAGCACCACCATGCACATGCCCCTTTCCTTGCTGATGGGTGTTTGGTTTGTTTCCAGTTTATGTTCTTTTGAAAATGCTGCAGCGAGGAACTCTTTACATGTCGTTCACTTTGATCTGCATGGTTTTTAACAAGGGGAAAATAATTGGATGGGTACACGTATAAAAGTCAACATCATAATAAAAGAGAAATTTCCTTCTACATAAAAATTCATATTGGCATTTAGACCTTTGAGTCGTCTCTTCTTTCTTCGGTCAGAGGGCAGTGAGAGGGCCCGTGGTGCTGACGCTGTCCTTCTCTTGCAGGCCGCTCAGAGCGTGAACAAGGCACTGGAGCAGTTTGTGAAGCCAGAGCAGCTCGACGGGGAAAACTCTTACAAGTGCAGCAAGTACGAGGGTGTGGTGGCGGGGTGGCTTGCATCGGGGATGGGGGTGTCTCAGGAACACCCTCCGCCCCCCACGAGACCCCTGTTAGCTTCTGTGATGTCTGGGAGGACACTGGGTCTCCATGCTCCCGGGGCTGGAGTGCTCAGTGTCTCCGGGTTTACACTCTTGAGAGGCGTGCACCTCTGCCCTGGGGAGGCTCGGTGCCCCATGACTGGGAGGGTTTGCGGGGGGCGGCCCATGGTAGCTGCTGCGCCTTGTGTGGCCCAGGGGACGCATCTATGGTGAGCAGCGTTTTCATGGACTCCTTATTAGGAGAGGCGGTGATGGAGTGGGGCTCGCTTTCTCCCAGCACAGTTAAGGCTCTTGCTCTCTCATCTGGTTCTCACCCAGGATTCAGGGTGGTATGGGCTGGAAACCTCTAGTATTGATGGTTCATTGCTGTGTTTCCCTGTGAAGTCAAGAGAGCCTCTATTTGAAGAAGAAACAGCCTCAAGAGAGCCTGTTTCACATGTTTTAGTAAATTTACATTTTAGAATCAGGTACTATGGGTGATCGTTACCAAATACTCATGTCTTGGGGGAAGAAAGCTCCCCACGACCACAGGCACTTTCCTGTTCTAAGCTCCATGGATGGTCACTTTGTTTTGAATTGAGAGAAGTCTGTATTCACCTAATTTTAAAATTATCTATGGCTATGTGGCTTCTCAGAAACTGTCCTAGCTTCCTTTTTTCTTTCATGCTAATTGAGCAATCTCTCCCTGTCATAATTTTAGTGTTTTCACTGTTGGTTGAGAGGGGTCATGTTTTTTAGCTAGTAGCTTTCTTTTAGGTTTAGTGGGAAATGTTTCAGAGAAATAACAAGGGAAAGACTAAAAAATATATATATAAATCTTAGTCCTTTGTTTCTTTTTATTTCAAGGTGTAAAAAGATGGTTCCAGCTTCAAAGAGGTTCACTATACACAGATCCTCTAATGTTCTTACACTTTCTCTGAAACGTTTTGCAAATTTTACTGGTGGAAAAATTGCTAAGGTATGTTGATAATATTAATAACCTTTTACGTTGTCTCTCTCAAGACTTATGCGTCAGTAACTATCAGGGGTTATAAACGACCTAATTGAACAGTTTGTTACCTGAGTTCCTAAGTTCTTCTAGTACTTATTGGGGGAAAATACGTCAGAGCATTGAGCTAGCAGTAATGTGTTACGTGTGTTCGTGAGTGTAGTCTCTCTCTCCTTCAGCTGGTTAGACTTTCTGATGATAAAACTGGTAACTTTGATCTGCACTTGGGCTTCATGGTCAGGGAAAGTGGGGAGATACAGGGAGAGCTGGTGTCGTTTGAAATCCGAAGAGGACGCCCCTGCTGGATCTCACACTCTTTCGTCAGCGTTGGTTTTCCTGTTTGTTGAGGTTTTCTGAGGGTAGCACACTGAATTTTCATATTCTCTTTCCACTTCCTGAAGGCTGGAAGTATCAGAAATCAGTAGTATGCAAGAGATCTAAACAATCCCTTCCCAAAGAAGTAAAACTAAGTGAGGCCGAAGTGCAGAATTAGCGTTCCATTGTGTCCTGTGGCCAACTCAGAAGGTTCACTTAACGTAGAGCCTTGTTTGCTTCAAGGAAATCAGGAATACAGTGGGAGTGCACTAAGTATCTGTGAGTTCAGGGTGGCTCCAGGCTGGTCGTGTCTTTTGAAACGTGGTTCAGTGTGTTAGGTTTCTGCTGGAACATCTGAGGGCACAAAGTCCTGCGCTTGGGTCTCCACGAGGATATGCGGAATGATCTGGGCCTTCAGAAGTGACATGCCTTGATCCTCTTTCCATTTCTGTTTAGGATGTGAAATATCCTGAATACCTTGATATTCGACCATACATGTCTCAACCAAACGGAGAACCGATTATCTATGTTCTGTACGCAGTGCTGGTACACACCGGCTTTAACTGCCACGCCGGCCATTACTTCTGCTACATCAAAGTAAGCCGTGCAGGTGTTGGTGACTGTTTTTAAGGTGCCCTCTAAGGTAGCACTGGTGCTCCTGGGGGGCAAGGTGGGACTTCTGCAGTGAAAATATGAAAGCCCATTTTTCTTACATTTCTCTTGATTGGTGTTCTCTCCTTGTCTAATTATACCTAATTTCTCTTTTGTTGGCTTTCTTTTGCAGGCTAGCAATGGTCTCTGGTATCAAATGAATGACTCCATCGTGTCTACCAGTGATATTAGATCGGTACTCAGTCAACAAGCTTATGTTCTCTTTTATATCAGGTATCATCAGGAAAACAGATTTCACATTTTCTGTTATGTCATTTCTCTTCATCTCAACATATTTAAATTCAGTATTCGGTTATTTCTGAAACAGCAGCTTAATGATGCCAACAGAGGAAGGGGGGTAGTTTTGGGTAGGGATTAGGAGTTGGATTAGCTTCCAGCTCCTTGGCAAGTTGATGATGAAGCATGCAGAGAAAGCGCATGGTGATGGCAGAGGGCAGGCTGCTGGTGGCAGCACACGGCGGGGGCTGGGGGAGGGGGAGGCCTCAGGAAGGGGCCTCTGAGGACCTGGGTGTGGTCACCTCTCAACCACTGAGCACAGGCAGCCGGTCACCTTCCTGGGCCAGGCCTGGCTCGACACCTGCTCATTTGCCTCCTGTTGCTGCTGCGTATTCCAACTCACTAATTCCATTTCTGGAAATGTGTGGTCTGAGAAAAAGTCTGATGTGTGCTCCAAGGTATTCATTTATAGTAGCTGAAAATTAAGAACATTCTAAAATTTCCGGGGCGTCTGGGTGGCTCAGTCGTTAGGCATCTGCCTTCAGCTCAGGTCATGATGCCAGGGTCCTGGGATCGAGCCCCACATTGGGCTCCCTGCTCAGCTGAGAGCCTGCTTCCACCTCTCCCTCTGCCCCTCCCCCCTGCTCGTGCTCGCTCGCTCTCTCTCTGTCTCTCTGTCAAAATCTTTAAAAAAAAAAAAATCCTAAAATTTCCAATATTAGCAGAATGAGCATGTAAATTGTAGCATATCCATGTGTTGGACTATTACACAGCTGTTAAAAATGATTTTTATGATGCCTTTTTTCCCCCCTAAATGATACAAGAAAGTGCTCTTGTATCATTGTATCCATATATCCTGTATATATGGAGAAAAAGCAGTTTGAAATCTTTTACGCTGGAATTGAAAAAAAACAGTACAGGCTGAAGCCTGGAGGATGTTCCAATAAATCTGAATAGTAGACGCCTCTCGTGGGTGAGACGAGGCACCGTATTTGTGTTTCTGACTTCTGGGTACGGCCTTCCTCTAGCGGCATGTACTTAAAATTAGAGAAATAGAAACAAACGGAAAGGACGAATTGCTTTCCGGTGGTGGCATCTCCGGAACACACAATCACAAATGCCACTTGCACGGTTGTCTTTCTTGTCTCCCTGTCGGAGCAGCTGTGCCCCCAACCTAGACCCAGAGGGGTCCTCTGCGGACGTAGCTCTGTGCACTGCAGCTTCTCAGTCTGCAATGACTCTCTTCTAAGGACGTGCCGTATGAAGCCCTGAGCGCTGTCCATCTCTGTCCCTAGGTCCCACGATGTGAAAAATGGAGGTGAACTCACTCATCCCACTCACAGCCCTGGCCAGTCCTCGCCCCGACCCGTGATCAGCCAGCGCGTTGTCAACAACAAACAGGCCGCGTCAGGCTTTATCGGACCACAGCTCCCCTCTCACGTGATAAAGGTAACATTCCAGAGGTAGGATGCAACCTCTGTGCTAACTTGGGTATTGTTCAAAGCCTCTGGGTCACACTGCGGTAGCTGCCGTGTCCTCGTACGACTGCGTTTCTTGTCAAGAAAGTTTATTCAAGCCAATAATTATAAAATAAATAATAATCTCAGAGTGTGAATGTAATGAACAAGAAGAAAGTCTGGGTATAGGTATATTTAAACGCTAGAGATTTTATTTTATTCTATTTATTAAGATTTTATTTGAGAGACGGAGTGAGCGAGAGATAGAGCACATGAGCAGAGGGAGAGGGAGAAGCAGGCTCTCTGCTGAGCAGGGAGCCCGATGCGGGACTCAATCCCAGGACCCCTGGATCATGACCTGAGCCAAAGGCAGACGCTTAACCCACTGAGCCACCCAGGCGCCCTTTATAGCTGGATTTTTTATCTTTTCCTTTTGTTTTGTGTTTTTCTTTGTTTTGATGTTTGGTTTTTCTTGTTTATTACTATCGCCATTTTAGTTTTTTTTGAATTGCTTTTTTTCTGTGTGTTCTTTTTGCCTTTTTCTTCTTTTGGTGTGTCTTTTCTGTTATCTTTTGGGTGAGTTTCTTCTCGTTCTGGTCTGTTTTGGTGATTTTTTTGAATGTCTGTTTTTCGTGTGGGTTTTTTCTTTGGTGTGTTTGGCCGGTTTTGGTTTTTTTTTGTGCGGTGATTTTTTACGTCTTTTTTTTTTTTTTTAGGATTTTGTTTCCTTTTCGAGGGTGCTGTTGGGGGGTTTCCGCTGGATTGTGATTTTTTTTGCTTCGTGTGGTGGTTTGTTTTGTGCTGTTTTTTATGGTCCTTGGATCGTGTTTTGGTTTTGGCTTGAGTGTGAAATCGAATGCCTCTGGGAGCCGGGCAGGTAATGGGCTCCTGCACTGGGCTCTGCTTAACAGTAACATCAGGACCCTGGCCCGCTGGAGAGCGTGTGCCCTGTGTGGAGGCGCGGCTAAGACTGATTTTTTCAAGGTTTTTTGTTTTCCTTCATGTGAAACCTTCTAGTGTTAAGACAGCAACTGATTCAGGTATTCAAGAGAACTGTGAAGGCCGTGCAGAACCCCTCTGTGAATGAGATCTCACCCACGGCCACCAGTTTATCCCTGTAGGCTAGAGCAGCAGGGGTGGAGTCTGGAGCAGAACAGTTCACGAGTAGGATTCGGAGGGGACATGGAGGGAGGGGACGGCGCCCAGAGCAGCTCCCTGCGTCTGCCCGTGCCCCCCATCTCCCTGGCTCCCTTGGCCAGTGGTCATTCCCCACTAGCTGGCACTTCCTTCCGCCTGTAGAGCAGAAGCCCAGCCAAGGAAAACATACTTGACTCTGTGCGCAAGGGGCCTGTTCATTTCTGTCAGACAGAAACAGAAAGAATTTGGGCTGGGGTTTGTTCTCGGACAGAAATAGTTGTTGATTACTTACCAGAAAACACGGGCCCATGAAAGGTTTATGGTGGTCAGGGGCAGACAGGAGGAGGTGTTTCTGGGTGTGGGAAACCTGATATTCCAAAAAAGAAAAAGATGAGCAAAATGGGAAGGGCCCCCAGCCAGAGTGGATTCTTTGTGACCGTTCCTGGGGCTCTCACCAGCTGGTGTCTTCTTTCTTCCAGAACCCACCTCACTTAAATGGGACCGGGCCATTGAAAGAAGCACCAAGCAGTTCCATGTCGAGTCCTAGTGGAAATTCCAGTGTCAGCCGGGCTGGTTCTGTTAATGCTTCGACTTCTGTTCAAAACTGGTCCGTTAACAGGCCCTCAGTGATTCCAGAACATCCCAAGAAACAAAAAATCACGATCAGTATTCACAACAAGTTACCTGTTCGCCAAGGCCAGTCTCAGCCTAACCTTCACAGCGGTTCTTTGGAGAACCCAGCCAAGCCTGTTCCCTCTTCTACCGTTACCAATTCTTCTGCAATACAGTCTACCTCGAGCGCACCTACAACGGCAGTTTCTAGTAAAGTCACAAAGCAGATGACCCCGAGCGAGTCCTGTTCCAAGCCGGTGATGAACGGCAAGTCCAAGCTGAACTCCAGTGTCCTGGTACCCTATGGCGCCGAGTCGTCCGAAGAGTCTGACGAGGAGGCGAAGGGCCTAGGCAAGGAGAATGGTCTCGGTACGATCGAGAGCTCGAACTCTTCTGTGCAGGATGCAGAAGATGACGAGGCCTCTCCGCTCGAGCTTCACGAGCCCCTTGCCCTAAATGGTGCTGACAGTATGGACAGCGACCTGAAGGAAAACGGTCTGTCTTGTGATGGTGCCAGTTGCCAAGTCCCGCCTGCTCTACCCGCAGAAAATCCCTTTGCTAAGGTGAATGGCCTGCCCGGAAAGGTGAGCGTGTTGGGTGGCCCCGGAGGGTGGGGGGCGGGCTGTGCTTGACTCTCACGTACAGCCGCTCGCTGGCTGGAGATCAGGGGGTGCCCGGTGGCAGCAAGAATTGAAACACTTTGTTTTTTATTGCAGTTGATGCCCGCTCCTCTGCCGCCTCCCCCAGAAGACAAAATCTTAGAGACTTGCAAACTCAGCAACAAAGGGAAAGGCTCGACAGAAGAAACCAGGTAAGACGGCGACAGGAAAGGACACTGTGACCGTGTCCATGCACACGCCGCTGCTTTAACACTGTGCATGTCTCATCGTGGACCTTTTGAACCCTGGAATGATTCTGTGGCACCCTTCCGAATCTGACACCTAGCCTTCCAGTGACAAACGTGAAGACTCCCAAGGTTGTAGCGCAGGGCTTCTCGGCTCCATCGAGTTGCAAGTATTTTGTTCTGCTTCTTCTAGAATCCTGAAATTGCATTCATAGATAAGACAGTCTTCCTCCACATTGAATGCTTTGTTTTGCTTTTTTAAATCGGTACATTGCCTGAGTGTAATGTAATGGGAACGAAAGACTGGAACATACCACGCGGTGGTGTTTCGGTTTGCACACATCCAGGCGGCCCCGCGAGCGCACACCGCCCCGCGCAGGTTTGCTGTGAGCCTCGCCGCGTGGGACGTGGCCTGGTGTCCAGAGCGCAGTCCCACGCACACATTTCACCATCAGGGGTGTGACGTCCTCATGGGGGACAACTTTTGGTGACATTCTGGTCGTCTCTGGATTCACGCAGTAGTTGTGTTCCTGGAACATGTCACATCCATGAAAACTGCCAGTAATCTGGCTGGGGGTTGGCCCACGTGGACGTGGGACTTCACTTACTCCCTGCATGGCCCTGCCCGCTTGTGCTGGTGGGGCTCCCCCATCTCGGTGACAGCCCGGAATGCACCCCACACTTCAGAGTGGCCCCTGGCAAGGAGCTGCCCTTCCTGAAGGCTTAATTACTAAAATGGAGTGGAGTCAATCTGTAGGCGAAGAACACTCCTTTCAGTTTACCTTCAAGAGGGGACGGCGTGAACCCTCAGTGGCTTCCTTCCCTAGTCTAGCTTAGTTTGTGCTCATATGTCGTGTGCGTGAGGATTACCGTAGACGGTTGTTAACCATAGACGGTTTTGTAGACGGAACCATGCTTGTACCGTAGCCCAGTGGGTGCTGCTCTCTTACGTGCCGGCTCGGGAATCTCACGGCCTCGCGCGAGGTGACTTGTCTGTACGGATCTCATCTGTGCTCTCTCCCCCCAGGTATTTTCCCACTAAAATGTGGGGCCCCTGGAGGGTTGCTGTTGTTTGCTGGCAGCTTTCATTGACCTCGAGCGTAGCTCGGGAGCCCCGTAGCAGCCAAGGGCAGACAGAGTTCATGTCCCACAGGAAGGTTTTTTGAAGCCTCACTGCTTCCTCCAGTTTATAAGTTCCACGGAGCTGTGGGCTCTGTTTGGAGGCAGTGACTCTACCTCGGAGGCTCGGGAGAAACGCAGAGGAAAAGTTAGAGCCTCCGGTCACCCTTTGACTTTTCTGATTATTCAGTTACTAAAAACTAGAAGTATATCTGAAAACAGAAGGAGCCTAGAACTGCAGGATTATTGTAGCAGAGAAACGGCATAGTAGATAAGCCCAATAGAGGATTTCATGTTTTTATTTAGTGAGGGAAAGAGAACATTTGAAGTTTCCAAAAATGATAAGCCCCATATCGGGCTGCAGCCAGATACGTTAAAGGCACAGGTTATTTAGTAAAGAACGTTTTGAAGTTTTTGTCCCTGTGAGCCATAAAGCAATGAAGCCAGGGATTAATTTATTGATTTCTTTGTTTTGATGGGGCTGCAGCATGCCTGGAACAGAGGACGGTCCTGCGGAGGATCCCGGCGCAGAGCGGGAGGCCGGCAGTCCGTCTCCCGAGTCCCGTGAGAAACTGGAGACCCTCACGAGCCTTAGCAGCAAGTTAAAGAAGGCTTTGCCACCCTTAGACCCCAGCATCAAATCTACCAAAGAAGAAGTCTCAGAAAACGTTTTAGCAAAACCCGAGGAGTCTTTGCCCAGTGCCGACACTCTTCACAGCAGTACTAAGAACACCACGGGGGACGATGGGCTCCCTAAACTGTGTGGCCCCGGGGATTTAACAGGTGACAAGAGCAGACCGCCCCAGGCCGTACCGGGGGCGGTAGTAGAGAGCCCACGGGCCTCAGCTGCAGTGGACACAGCGGGGAGTTCAAGCCCAAGTCCCCCCGTACGCTCCGAGGGTGCCTGTGAGCACGAACTCTTAGTCTACATCAGTCGAGACGCGTGCACGGACTTGGAGGACCGTCCTCGGAGCACAGGTGCGGCTGCGGAGGCCTCGCCCTCTCCTCAAGTAGACAAGGTCACAGAACATCATTCAGAAGGGGGCCCCGAACAAAGTAACGGGGAGAAATGTGAAGAAAATAAGGTGGGACAAAAAGTTCCAGATCATTCTCCAGTTAAGGAAAAAATCAGCATCCTCAGAAAAGTCGATCGAGGGCATTACCGCACCCGGAGAGACCGTTCCTCGAGCGGGGAGCGCGCGAGGGAGAGCAGGAGCCGGACCGGGGAACGCTGCCGCGGGAAGCGGCGCTCGTCCGTGCGGGAGCGGGCCAAGCGGGAGCGCCCCAGGACGGAGCACTGCGGCGGGGGCCCGCACCCCCCCGGCCACAGCGAGAGGCTCAGCCCCGGCGAGCCCCGCTCCCTGGGCAGGTACGGCCACCGCCACTCCCGCAGCAGAGGCGGGTCGGACCAGGAGTGGGGCCGGTACCTGCACTCGGAGAGCGAGCACTCCTGGGGCCGGGAGAAGTACTACCCGGACAGGCCGCGGTGGGACAAATGCAGGTATTACCACGACAGGTACGCCCCGTACACAGCCAGGGAGGCGCGCGAGTGGAAGCCCTTCCACGGCGCCCGCGACTACGCCAAGGCGGGCCCGTCCGGCGGCCGGCCCTGCAGGGACTACTATAGGGGCAGGAAGGGCTACGAGCTGCTCGCCAAGGGCCGGGACCGGCACCGCTTCGGCAGCCCCCGGGCAGGCCCACCCCACGCCCTCCTCCCGTACCCCGAGAAGTACCCCCACGAGAAAATTGCACTTGTAGCCGAAGACACCAATTGTAACCTCGCCGATCGGTTTCACGAACACGAGAACGCCAAGTCCCGGAAACGGAGATACGACAGCATGGAGAACAGCGACGGTCATGTCGAGAAGAAGGCCTGGAGGAGCTTCCAGAAGGATCCCTTGGAAGAGCCTAAAGTGAAGAAGCACAAAAAATCAAAGAAGAAAAAGAAATCCAAAGACAAACACCGAGGCCGCGATTCCAGGTGAGGATGAGGCCGTGGGCGCGGCATCGGGAGAGGTCTGGTTGCGGTTCCGTCCACGGGAGCCTGGCCTGGCCCCATGCACCGGGCTGGCTCCGGCGGTGGAGGCTGGAGTCCTGTGGTCCGCTCAGCGGGGCCTGAGCTTCCACCACGGTAGATTTCTGGACCCCAGCTCCGTGCCGACGCTCTTACTTCACAGTTTTATAAAGTGTCTCCAAACCTCCCTTTTCGAAACGCTGCTATTTTTGGTCCGTGCTTTAGGATCTGTGGGAGTAAGCATGCCACGGTTTGTGCCTGAGAACTTGGGTCTTGGGCTGCGTAACTGGTGTTCATACTCTCACTCGTCACATGTAGTTATGTTTTCATACTTGTTCACGTTTTCTTGCGCCTCAGGGACCACCCAGCGGGCAGGCACAGGGAGGCCACCGTCCGTCCCTTTGCTGTTGGCCTGCCGGCTGCCAGTGCAAATCAGAGACGACCACTTGACCACTCGTTGCCTCAGCCTTGTCTGTTTCTCTGGCTCCGTTTCCCAGTTTAAAATCTAGTGGGGAAGTTTGTCTTTCTAAAAAGCTAAATTGGGCAGAGATTGATTGTCTTGAAAAGGACTTCTCCATGACGAGATGCATGACACCTGACGTCTCTTGAGATGGAAACCCTGGGGAAAGGTTACCAAAAGCTGTAGGGACACAGACATGGTTACCTGAGGGAAAACCTCCTTCCCTCCTGTGTGTCTGAAGCTCCTGGTGAAAGCATTTTGTCCCTTGGCCACTCGTTCCAGGAAAAGGTAGTGAAATTCTTCCTCTGGACTTGAGGCCAGCAGCCTTTGCTCCAGAGCAGAGCTCCAGGCAGCTGTGGGGGCCGGGGGGGGGGGCCCAAGCGAGCGAACTCATACCCCGGACCCCAACACTTCCTACGATGAGCCCGGCGCGTTTGTGCTCAGGGGGGGTCCTCACCGCTGTGTGCGTGCTGAGTGTCTGCCATGGGGGTGAGAGCCGAGGACCAGCCGCTCGGAGGCGAGTTTGGTTTGTTGGTGGTTTGAGTTCTGGTTTCTTCCTCTGCAGGCGTCAGCAGGACTCCGATCTGTCAGTAGCGTGCTCCGACGCTGATCTCCACAGACACAAAAAAAAGAAGAAGAAAAAGAAGAGGCACTCCAGGAGATCCGAGGACTTGGTTAAAGACTCAGAACCGCACCTGCCCAAGGCCGCCAGCCATGAGACTGTTGACCGTTTCCGGAGAACTGACGGCGCTTTCCCCCTCACCGACGGCCTGCCTCTGGAAGGTGTTGGGCCTTTCCGTGAGAAGAGAAAACACTTAAGGATGGGAAGCAGGGATGACAGGTGTCCTCTGTCTGAGTGTGGCCAGGGTAAGAGGAGATACTTGGAATTAAGAATATAGAAACAATTTCTTGTTAACACAGGGGAAGAAACCCTCAAATGGCGTAAAAGGGTTTGGCTCCAGCGGGAGCCCGTGCACCCTGTCCGCTCCAGCCTCGGCCCCCAGGCGGAGCGCGGGCAGCTGCGGGACTGACCCTTAGCGTGTGCGGGGACCTCGGTGACCCGGACCTGGGCGCGGCGGAGCCTCGGTAGTGAGACCTCTGGAGTCTGGGGCTCTGGGCGTGTGTGTGTCTCATGAAGGACCAGGGCTTTTGTTCTTAAGCCATTTCTGATAGAAATATTTTCACCGTGTGTGCTTTCCCTCCTGAGTCTGCAAACCTCTAGCATTCGGAGTATAAGCTGAAACTCCGTTTGGGGTACGTCTGCTCTCGGCCCCTAACAGAGTCGAGGCCTTGCAGGCGCCTGTATTATGGGGCCCAGGCTCCCGCCAAGCGAATCCCTCCAGGCTTGGCAGGGTGGGGGGGGGGTTGGATTCTTCCCCACTTTGCACCACTGTCTACCGATGTCATTTCACAGCCCTTTCTGCTCTGACCGCACCTAAAGCAGCCCCTCTCTGCATGCAGCTTACATCCGTGCCGCCCGTCTCCGCGGGGCCTGCCGGTTCAGAGGGGCTTTGTGGGTTTTAAATGGCTGGCGAAGTCCAAAGGAGAAGATGTCTCTGCATGTGGGACACGCCTGTGTCCGGAGCTGTGCTCGGGGCGAGCTCAGCCCGCTCAGTTACGTGTCACCACGCTGGCCCTGAGCAGGCGCTGCCGAGAGCCCGGACGGCCCCAGAGCGG